AAAATAAGCCAGCTTGCAGCAGGTGTATTTCTCAATTGTCATTAAATCTGGATTATGTTGTCTTTCACTTCCGCCAGGTTCCTTCTTAATAGAAAAGTGTTTCCATGGAGAACGTTAGTTGAGTTAGTATGTATGGGCTAACTCATCTACAGTGCATAGCTGACATTTACACATCATGTCTTGAGAGCTCCCTGAACATACGCTAACGCAATCTTCTGATTATTTATATATAAATTCTGCTCGTGTTGTGCACGCCTTTTTAGAGAGCTTTTGAATTGATTCATATGATAAAGGCTCAATTCTACTCTCTGTCTTACCTAGGAAGCTAACCACTGTTTGTCACCTCCATTGTGGTGACGTTTTTCATTAAGGCATGAGATGTGTGTATATTTCCATTTGTTTATCAGTATGTGCGTTACCCTGACCCACCGTTCAATGCTCTAGTGGATTTATTCAATGGCGTCCCTTCGTTTGGCTGGGTGCGGGTATGGAAGTGCATGCATAATGCATGTCGGCTAGGCGGATGTAATTTAGACTACGTTATTTGGGCATTTTTTAAGCACCCAGGCTTGATGCATCAATGTCCCCTGTGTTTTTACTTTTCTTCTCCAGCAATCATTCACCTTGACCTTTTGAAAGGTTAATTTGATATTTTATTCAGGTTCGCAAGGTATGAAAATAGTTAAGGTCTCAGTAACTTTAAATTAGCTCTCATAACAAGAGCATAGTAGCTTTGCTTGCTGGAGAAATAGTTTAAACTAGCTGGATAGGCTGATCTCTTTTGATGGTTTTAGAGAGATTTTGGGAATTTTTCAGCTGGTCTGGTTGAGAAACCATCTAAAGACTTGCTTGGCCATGTTGGGAAACCATAAAACAAGCTTAACACCAGTTTGGTGAGGGAGGGAGACCAGCTAAACCAGCTCTTTTTTTTCCTTTAATTCATTTAATCAGGTGGTCTGCTCTTGCTAAATTGGTTAAGTTGGTCTTTTAGAAGGGATTTGGACATCTGTCATGCTGGATGAGTAGGTGAGGGAATTTCCCTTGCGGTAATGTTGAGTGGCTCAATAGTGCGGTATGCGGTATTATCGCCATACATATATATATATATATATATATATATATATATATATATATATATATATTAACCTTACGAAAAAAGAAAACACGCAAAAATCGCGGTTGCTGCGGTTCTTGCATTCCTTTGCGGTTTGCTCGCAAAATTTTGCGATATTGCGGTTATCGCGACAGCCCTATGGATGAGATCAGCTAAGCCAGCTTGGGATACCAGAAAACGAGCTGAACACCATCTTTGATAGGTGGAAAGACCAGGTAAAACCAACAATACAACCTTTTTTGAATTCTTCTACTGTAGCAGGTAATCTAGGCTAATATGGTTAGCTGGTCTCTTAGCCTGGCAAAACCAGTTAGACTGATCTATTTAGATGATTTTATAAAGTTTTTTGGCACTTGTAAGCTGGTAGGAAACTATCTGAAGAGCAACTTGGCCATTCTGGGAGACCAGTTAAATCAGCCTAAGCAGGTTAGCTTGACTACCCTGGCCAAATTGGTTAGGCTGGTCTATTTTGATTATTTTAAAAGGGTTTTGGACACTTGTGAGCTGGCCCACTGTTTAGATGGTTTTAGAGGGGTTTGGACACTTGTCTGCTGGTGATCAGATAAACACCAGCTTGGCCACATTGGGAGACCAGTTAAACCAAATAAAACCATCAATACCACCTTTAGTTGAATTGTATGCTTACCTAGTCTCTTAGCCTGTCCAAACCATTTAGGCTGGTCTATTTAGATGGGGTTTTTGACACTAGTCAGCTGGTCAGACTGGGTGACCACCTAAACCTGATAAAGACTAGCTTGCCCAGACTGGGGAAACCAGAAAACAAGGTTTCCTCTGCCATCTGTGACCCATCAGAACAGGCCTGTTGCGGCTAATTTTTGGGTTGTAACCCACTAGTTTAGAACTGCTAATCAAGAGTATCATAAGACGTGGGCTATAAATTAAGCATGTTGTGTGAGTTCTTTCTCCATCATGGACTGTTCGTGATACTGCTTAGTAAGAGAGGAAACGTGCACGCTTCTCATTAGACATGTTAATTTATTTTTAAAGGGTGGAGAATCTACTTAGGCTCTCCTTTGATCATTATTCATCAAAGCTCTGAAATGCTGGTTGCGCTTGTCCTTGTGCAGAACGTGCCGACAAAATTGTTTAAAGATTCACTTGAAAAATGTCCCCCTCATTTCTGCAAATGAGCAACAATGCTGTTTCCCAGAGCTTACAGTTCAGCCCATTTCATATGCATGGGATTCAGCTCATATGCCTCTATCTCCTGCCCTATCTTGCAAATGAGAAAGGTTATCTTACTCGCACCAACTGATGAATGAATGAGCGTGCAGAAGTTTAAGCCGTCATGCTCCTCCAGGCTGCAGGCCAGGTGAGACATATCCTGCGGGCTTAATATTTCGTATTCTTAAAGGGGAGAGACTCCCACAGAGATCAGATCTGGAACCCTCCGCAGCGCTGCAGGATCTTGCCGGCTGGAAGCCCTTTAAGCGAGGAGTAAGCGTAAAACGTAGCAAAGGCGATTACACCCTGTTCTTAGCTCGCAGTAACTATGGTAGATAAAAGTATAAAAACAGTTTTCATACAATTTCCCAAATCAGTACATTTGGGGACTTCAGAGGAAAATTAGCCTTTAGTCTGACAAAAAGTGTAATTATGAAGTATTATTATAACAGTTAATGTTATATATTAAAAGTAGAAAAAATACATTTGACTAATTTAATGATATTCTTTTTGCGAGCATTTGAACAGGCTCACTGCAGAAATTGCAGTATGCAAATGTTAAAATTATTAAAATTATTATATTAACACAATCTTAAATAAAATATAAAAAAAGAGATAAAATGATCATTATTTTAGTCAAGTTAAAATAATGAAAAATAAATTACATGAATTTCTAAAATAAAATTGAATATTTTAAAAGAAATGCACAACATTAAACTGACAACATATTTTCGAGTTTATTTATTATTTATTACAACAGCAGTACTAGAGGTACATATCAACTTAAAAGAGGGCTTTTAAATAATGTGTTGGACAAAAGGGGCCCCTTGGGTTCAAAAATGCCTGAAAACCACTGATCTAGCTCAGATTTTCTAGACTAATATCCTCTTTGTTTTATTTGCTACCTGAGAATTTGTCCATCACATACTGGATAGATGCAGTGATACCTTCAGCTTGGCCCTCAACACCAGTGAAGAAGAAGATATAAGCAGGGAAGAGGATAGTTTCAAGCACTGGAAACGGCACCCCTGACTCGACACTTCTAGGAAGTCGAAGAGCCTCTAAACTCTCAGTGGAGCCTTCATGATCGCAGGGAGATATGTCAGAGTTGACATTTAGACATTTGGAGGAGGTTGATGTGGAAGATGTCTGTTCTTGGTGCAGGAGTGGGGGTGGCTGTGCTCAAAAGTTGTTTGAAGGAGCGTGAAATGAGATACCGAGAAGGCTAGAGGTGGCTGTTGTTCACAGCGATATAGCTGCACTGGGAGTTGGTGTTGGAGTCATTGGCATAGAGATGGTTCCGAAAGGAAGCCCTTCATTGGGCAAGTGAGGTAGTAGTGGGTGGAGGTGCTATCTAATGCCAGTTTTATGTGGGCTTGACCTCACACCCTTCCGTCTGTCCAGTTAAATGTATGCAATAATAATCCCATATGTTACTGAGCATTGAGAAGATCCTTTAAGAAACCATAATATGTTTTACTCGCACACAAGGTCCAAATTCTTGCTAATGAGGGATGAATTAAGGAAATTCACTGGCAAGTATTTTATATAAATATATTTCTCTTGGCCATATAACTGCAGTTTTTTTTTTACATTTTCACAGTTTTTATATGCATGGCTCAATCAGCACCAATATTATGGGTTCAGTTTTCAGTACTAATAAAACATAACTATAAGCTTCAGAGGAAAGCATCTGCCAAATGAAATTGTAAATGTAACAGTGTGGGCAATCATATTTGTCTTGACCATGACACTGCAATATTTTTATGAAAAAATGCATTATTTTGCAGTCTTTTACATACATTTTCATAGTTTTTACACGCTTGGCTGTTTAGCAACGGCAGCATTAGGGGTTCAATTTCCTGAATGTACTAATAAAATGTAAACCTTGAATGCATTTTACGTCACTTTGGATGAAAGCGTCTGCCAAATGAAGTTGTAAATCAGTGACAATCAGTGAAGGCAGTAATCATATACAAGATAAGTCCACGTTTGCGTCTTTGTAAAACTGTGCCTGTGACAAAAAAAAATTTCTGGCTTAAACTGTCTTTAGATAAACTTATGATTTAGGTAAAGACTTAGACGTAGGTAAAAGCTGTTATATGTGCTGGTCATGACATTTTTCTTTAGTAGACAGACAGGTTGATTCTTTGATTCAATGTTAAGGTTAAGATTAGTCGTACTATTTGTTTTAAAATGTTGCAGTTCCTAAATTACCAACTAATATATCCATTTTGAATTGACCAGTTCATTTACTTTAACATTTTTACTTATTTTTTGGCGAGTATTCATTTTAGATTGCACCGAAATATTATGCCACATTATACCACATCTTGCGGCTTAGTTTTTGCCTTAATCCAGAAGCTCATGTTGTGTTTGACTTTGCGGGGACTGTGATCGCCCTGGGCACCAGTGGTGAATTTGGCACGCTGAATAGCTGGACAGACATGGCCAGGAAAGGGCTGCAGTCCAGAAAGCATTCGTACACAAAGCCCTGGGCACATAACCCACTCCGGCTGCAAAATGGAACCACGCCAGCAGCTCTCCAGGCCTTGGTTGACTGATGGGTGCCAGAGAAGTTGATGTTTTTTAGGATAATGTTGTCCTTCACCTAGTTTTCTGCTGGTTTTCTAAATGGACATTCTTGGCATTGTGTGCATGTGTGTGCGCCCTCAATAAGAACTCTATTGTGTTGTGGCAGGAAACTGGAAGGAGTGGTGTTTAACTGCAGCTGCAATATCCGTTGGATCCAGCTGTGGCAGCAGCGAGGTGAAGCCGGACTCCATAACCAGCACCTTTTCTGCAACAACGGTGTCTCCAAGATCCCTCTACAGCTCATGAACATCTCTCACTGTGGTATAGGACACTTTCTGTAAATTGTGGTTGCCATGAAAGAAATGTCTTGGGTTAGTTCACTAAAAAAATCATTTACTCACCCTCACGTCTTTTCATTGAATGGACAAAAACAGACTTTTTTCTAAAATATCGTCTTTCATGTTCTGCAAAAGAAAATCATAAAGTCATACAGGTTTGGATTGACATGAATGTGAGTAAATGATGACAATTGCCATCCAAATTCTTTAACAGCATTTGTGGCGATTTTGTGGAAAAAGTTCCTTAAAATAACAGCTTTAAAACTTAATTATACATTTTAGCATGAGCCTAGTGTGATAAAATTGCTTCCTGATGTTGTTTGTGTAAAATTACAGTCAGTTATTTAATGTCATGTTCTTTTTCGTACCATGACTGCTTGTCTATTTCCCACCAAGATTTGCCAGAGATCAGCGTAAGTCACAGTAACCTGACAGTGATGGAAGGTGACAGGGTGACAATCACCTGTAATGGGTCAGGAGTGCCGGTACCGGAAGTGGATTGGACTGTTGGTGGACTGCACTCCATTAACACTCACCAAGTAAGGCAGATTTTTGCTTTTTGCGTTTTGACTAGCAATCAGCATGGATTTTATGTACCTTTTAAGGACCTTAGTCAAGGTAGATGGCATATTGAAATTAGTAGACAAAACAACTTTGGAAAACTTGGATCTAACCTAGCTAAAAAAACATTGGGAGGCCAACTAATCCAGTTAAAACCAGCAAACTGTGCTTTTTTCTATCCCTAACAGTCTGGTTTTATGTTTAAAAATAAACATGCAATTTACCCAATCTAAGATCTATTAAATCACTCACTCGAGCCTTACAGTGGCTAGTATACACCATAAACCATTTGGTGAATCTGTGCAAGCTTGGTTGTGTTTCCAAAAGCTATTGTGTCCTCCTCTCTTCCAGTCCAATCAATATCCACCGAATGTTCACTCCATCAACTTAACTCTGGTCAACATCAGCCGAGACGATAACAGCTTCATGCTGACCTGCATTGCAGAGAATATAGTTGGGATGACTAATGCCTCAATACAACTTTCAGTGCAGTGTAAGTGCCCCTTTTCTTGTTCCCTGCCTCTCGAATGCCTTTACATTGAGCCTCACTGCCTCTAATGTGCCAATTCTGCCTCTGTCTAGCTCACAGAACTGGATTTGTCTGCCTCTTTAGCTTGTTACTATCACTTGCTACTGTGCCTCACATCTACCAACTCAGTTTCTTAATTTGTATTGCCTTTTATTTGAAAGAGGTAGGCATTTAGGGAGGTGAGATCACTAGAAAGCTTTTTTTTTTTTTTTTTTGAAGTGAGTACTATTGATCAAAATGGCTCTGAGAAATGCAGAATCTATGCGACAAAAAGCTAGAAGTGAAGTGTGTAATTTTTGTTATTAAAATACTTTCTATTATTCTAGCTTAGCATGTAGGCACCTAAAAGTAAGCCGTTGTGTCGGTTGGTTTTGCTCAAAAGTGTAAACACTGTGGCTTTGTGGTGCTTTCAAAACATCGCTGTTTGTTTTAGGATTCCGATCAGCCCAGCATAGCAACTGGTTCAGCCAAGGGTGTGAGTTTGGGGCGGGGCTGCCTGATGGACTGACCAATGGCAGAGAGAGAGAGGGGGTGTTCTGGAAACCTGTTTGACAACAGATTGTTTTAACACACTTTTATGGCAAATAACTTTTTTACATTTTAGTGAAATGGTAGGTAATTCTTATGAATTCATGCAATCTTATTTGTACATTTTTGTATTGACACTTAGGTTTTGGGGTGGCCCTCCATGCTTACATTTTTGTTTTCTCCCTAAAAATTGTATGTTTCCATACAAATCACATTATGAAATCATACAAAATCACCACCTCGTAAAAAAATTTGTTTTTTTCATGAGATCGGGTTGGATTATTTTGTAGTTCTGTTTAGTGATGTTAGTGGCACAGAAATTACACACTACCTGTTAAATGTGGTTTTGTATATTAGTTTACTGTGTTTTATGATTATTAGTATTTTAATGTAGCCAATTATGGTACAATAATGGCTGCTTTGTCAAATTAAATTCTAAAAAATAATGGGAAAAAAATCACAGTGAGGCTAATGAAATTTGTTATAAAATAATGACAAATGTCTTCATCAGAAATAGCCCTACTCCTACAAAAAAGAAATCTGAGGTTCTACACAACCCAGCGTGTTGTAGGAAAGTCATTTGTGTAGTTTATTGATCTATGATAGTGAGGGCTGTTCTTCATCTGGACTTTTCACACGAAAAAAGGCTGTAAGTGAAATATTAGAGAGATTTATCAATGTTATCATGTTTCAGTGTGGAGCAGGCTACATGTGATTGCTTTGTGGCAGAGTTAGGTGGTGTATTTTCTGTATTTGTGTATTGGGAAGGGTATGCAGGGGTCTTATGAATCAGAAACTTGAAAAAGTTCCAGTTTTTGTTCACTTAAAATGTGTTTTGTGCCTTATATTAGACTTGGAAAAAAATCAATGCACATTGCATTTTTTAGCAGAAAGAAAAAGGGAAGTTTATTTTTCCCATATAGGGTCAGGCATGCAAAAATAATGTCCCAAATGAAAAAGAAAATGAAAGAAACAACAACCCTGAGGCAATAAGCAACTCATGAAAATTGGCAAAAAGAAACTATGCCTCTAATCAAACATATAAATCCTACCCCTGAGAAACAATAACCAAACAAATAAAAAAAAAAGTGAAAAGGCCGAGAACAAAGACAAACTTTGCCTCAAATAAGGATCATATATAAAGACGTGGCTCTACCAAAAAACACAACAGGATGATATACAATAATGAAACTTTAGTTTATATAATTAAATGAAGCTAGTGCATCAATCTTAACTCCAGAACTGACTAACCAGGTAATGTATAGCAATAACGTACTTAATGAAGACCACTTTGAATTTGCTTGTGCCTCTGTGCTTAGTTAAAACTATTTGAGAATTCCATACATTGTCACAGTAACATAATAAATGAATATTATTATGTTATATTAAATAATATTAAAATAAAATATTAATTAAACTGTTTTCAGATGTACCTGTAAAGCCTGTGATGCTTTGACATTAATTATACTAAACGGAAAAATGAAAAATAACTATGTGTACAGTAATAAAACACAATACAGCATCACAATATCCAACGAAACTTGGAATGAAGTAAGGCAATTAAAGACCTTATAAGAACACAGCAAGATACAATTACAATGTAATGTGAGGTCGCAGTGTTGTATCAGTATTTACATTTATACTGAATGCTGTTGGCCAACAACAGTGTAACATGATTCTTCCCACACTCAATATCTATTGACCATGTATGATTTGCTTAGAGCAGCAAATTCTGTGGAAATAAGAGAAAGTCAGTCAGTCTCTCTCTCACTCTCTCTCTCTCACAATCTCCGGCCTTGAGACAGGAGAAAAAAAAAATAGAGGTTAATCAGATAAAAGTTTTATATGTACATTACCATTAGAAAGATTGGGGTTAGTAAGATTTTTTTAAATGTTTTTTGAAAGAAGTCTCTTATGCGCACCATGTATGTATTTGATTGAAAAATACAGTAAAAACAGTAAAATTGTGAAATATTATTACAATAAAAATTTGTTTTCTATTTGAATACATTTTAAAATGTTATTTCTTCCTGTGATGGCAAAACTGTCATTACTTCAGTCCAGTCCATTCTTCAGAAATCATCCTAATTAGCAGCTCAAGAAACATTAATTATTATCAATGTTTAAAACAGTTGTGCTACTTAATATTTTTGTGGAACCTGTGACACTTTTATTATTCTTTGATGAATAGAAAGTTCAAATAGCATTTATTTGAAATATATATATTTTGTAACATTATACATGTATTTACTGTCACTTTTGATCAATTTAATGTGTCCTTGCTGAAAAAAATATACATTTCTTTCAAAAAGAAAGAAAAAAAAAATAATGCAGACTCCAAACATTTGAATAGTACTGTATTATTATATTTATTTTTTTCATATTTTATCTATTATATTAATAGCTTAAAATAACTTATTCTAGAAGAAATCTGTAAAAATATCTGTATTCATGTAAGTAGAACCCACACATTGAAGTGAATTAACCACTGATTCGATCCCTGATGAATGTTTAATATGGATGTTTGACATATTTACGGCATCATAATTGCTGACAGTTACCGTCAAACATGCAGTGGGTGGAAAAGATGATGGAAAAGGTTATAGGCTGCAGTTGTTTCCCACCCTTTGGCTCTGCGCCTCCATTCCATGAAACATCCGCTCGTCCAAATGCTTGACCAGCTTGACAGTTAACCTGGGATCTTCCTGTACAAGAGACAGGATAGCAGATCAAACAAATATCCATACGGACCACCTGTGCTGCAGAGGCCAAAGTCCCACTCATGCATAAACACGGTTTATGATAATCCATGCTCATTGGTTTATGGATTTATGTTGGACGGTGGCACAAAGTACTTAATCCTTTCTGTATAAAAGTATTGTGTTTCTCTCCTGCAGTCCCTCCTGTCATCATTAAGTTTGAGGAGCCGCAGAAGTGGCATGACACGTGTATGGTCTTCACAGTGCGTGCAAACCCCCTGCCCACCCTTCGCTGGTACTATAAGGGCGAGGAGATCAAGCCGACAAAATACCTCCGTCCAGAAATGGATCTCTATCAGGACAGCTTAGAGGGATGCCTCATATTCAAAAACCCCACACACCACAACAATGGCAATTACACTCTGGAGGCCAGCAACTTCCTGGGCGTGGCCGTCAAAACTGTGTACGCTCACTTTCTACAGCCACCTTTTGATGGTACGTGACTGATTTATACACGTTTACATTGCCTGTTATTCTAAAACCTATAGTTACATAGTGTTTTCCCAGTGAGTGAACTGTCAAATACAACTGAAAATGTTCTTCCCCATAAAGGTGGACAAAATTAATGCAAAATGAGCTAACTTGTTTCTAAGCGTTATCATACCAGCAAAAAGTACTATGTTGATTTTCCACCTGTATGGGGCAAAAAAAAAAAAAAGTCATTCTCTTGTACTGGTGCAGGTGCATAATTGCACAAGAAATGCACTGAAGGGTAAATGCTGATCATAGTATAATAACATTTTAAAAATGTGTTTTCATGAGTCCTTAGAGCTGATCTCGACATATTCATATCTGGTAATTATATACCACTGTGTGTTTTTTCCCCTCTTTTCTCAGACTACCCAGATTATGGTGAGTTTCTCCCTCCCTTTAGTTGTTTGCTGCATGTATTTTTGTAACTTATTCATTAGGTTTGTTTATCATAAAACAAAGAATGATTTAGAAACAAATAATTTGGTCTATGCACTGAACAAACAACTATCCTCCAAACAATTACCTTGGCCTTATTCTCAGATGGCTGGCCGCCATAGTTGGGCATGCTGTTATTAGACCTGTTTTGTATTTTTGGCATAAAGTGACCAATATCTGTCAGTATGGGAGAAAAATCAGATCCTTTTCCACAAGAAACTGTCCGAGGAACAATTACTGACCTTCACAAGAATGTTTCTTACACTGATATCACCCTAATTTACCATATTTTATCAAGTTGAGGCACGGAAACTGTGCGAATGACAGATTGATACTGTCAGAGCTCTGGATGAAGTTAGATGGCTGTAGTGTGGAGTATCAGGCCATACACACATGCCCTCCGTCGAGGTAAAAAAATGAAAAATAAGAACAGCCTAAGGGTTTGGTTCGATACTATATGATATCTACGATCGGACTCACTGTCGAAATGGCAGTAACCTTGCAACAGTCTAATCAAACAGTATTTGCCCCAAGATATATTTAGTGAATAATCCCCAACAGTTCTCTTAAAACCAGGGTTGTGTAGCCCTGCTCCTGGAGGGCCACCTTCCAGCAGAGTTTAGCTCCAGCCCTGATTAAACACACCTGAACCAGAAAATCAAGGTCTTTGGATACTGGAAACTTCCAGGCTGGCATGTTGGAGATAAATTCTGCAGGAGAGTGGCCTTCCAGTAGCAGAATTGGACATTTTTGTCTTAAAACAGTTACTCTGAGTAAACACAAAACATCCATCACCTTTTAAAGGCTGGTTTGACGAAACCAATTGTCTGTAGATTCGTAGTTAGTAGTGAAAATTAATTGAAAATGACATGGAGGGGAAATCAAATCTATGCTGCTTATACAGTGGCTCCAATATGTATTTGGACACTTAAGCTACAAATATATTAATTAATAAGTAATTTTAAATGATAAAACAATATCATGCATATACTGTACATATACCTTTCAAAATAAAGATAAACAGAATTTGGACATTTTTGGTTGTCAAATGTTAATTGGAATGGTGATTTAAAGTATATCTATATTTTGCCTTTATATTCTTTTCTAAAAAAAATAAATAAATTTCTTTATTTATCGATTGATTGAGTTATTTATTGATTTCACAGCTGGAAATAAACATTTTCAAGATTTTGTGGTTTTACTTTCCCCCCCAAAAGTTAAAAAAATATAAAAACATTTATTCATTCATTCATTCAAAGCTGGAAGTAAACAGTTTCAAGATTTTGAATATAGCAAATGTAAGTTTTTTTTTAAAGATTTCTATTATTATTTTTAGTATAACATTAGACATGTAATTTTAAATTTTTGTATTAAATTAATTGTATAACATTTTTATCAGTTAATTATAATTAATTGATAATTAATTATAATTTTATGAATTGTATATAAACACTATACCATTAAAATTAATGTGTTAATACATTTTTTTTTACCTCCCAAAAGAAATTAATACTTCAGCAAGTACGCATTAAACTGATCAAAGCACAAGGTGAAAACATAAGTCATTTACCCATTTTGGGGTCACAGTAATGTACAGTATGTCCATGTGGTATTATTTTATCTTCAAAAGGTTAAAAAATATATTTTCCTTTTTTTCTCTTTCTTTCTTTTTCTGAACACAACTACACTCTTGTTTGTTTTCTAGTGAGTCCGACTCCGACTGCTGTTCCAACCATGACACATCGGCCTGAAGAGGACACGTTTGGCGTGAGTGTTGTTTTTGTCTCCTGAGATCGAAAGCACCCATATGAAGTATAATGAGGTTACTTGAACATCTTGTTCCCAGGAACACACGGCAGAGGTGTTGAAAACAAACTATTCTAAACCATTTTCTTTTTGTTCAGTTTTTTTCCCTCACACTCTAGCTCTTATCTGTCGGTTCCCTTGTGGCTTGTATGTTTTACAGCTGCTTAAAAAAGTACTTTTGTTCATCTTTGTGCTATAATTGACTGGATGGAGATTATATTCTCATCTGAATGTTTTAATAGCGACTCGGGCACTGGCACAAAGAGTGAGCGTGGCCCTCGATTGTTTGGAGGTCCTAATTACGGGGAAAAGCTTTTTGCTTCCGATAGCTTTATTCCAGCACTTTGACTGCATTGATTTATTGTTTATTGTCTTTATGTGGTGTTTATCTGGAGCATTTAGACATTATATTAAGTTGTATGCTTTGTATTTCCCATCTTGGCCGTATCTCTCTTACAACACCTAACCTGAATTATTATTATAATCTTTTTTTTTTTCTTTGATTTGCTTTGCCCTTCTCTTTTCATGCAATTTATCAAAGCTACCGCTGCCATATGCAACTTATGACTCCAATTACATAAACCTCTTATGATTACAGCATCAACATCAATACAAATCACATAAACAAGTCAAAACACGCTTTTTAGGTTTGCTATAAAATTGCATTTTTCCTCCTGTGCGAGACATAAGAGATTAGATAGAAATATTTATTTGACACATTTTAAGTTGCTACAGTAGTTATGTCATTCCTGTACTGTAGTTCCCTCGTAAAAAGATTGTAAAAATCATTTTAGATTACAAATTATTATAATAACAAATAAGCTAAAGTTATAGCATGCTAGCATGCTACTATTTCTGCAGTGTGTAGAATATAAACAGAATGCAAATTTTTCTCTATGCGTACATGTAGAATACCCAGATGACCTACTATATTTGCCAAAATGTGCAACCGAGCATACGATTTCCCACGATGCAATGCGCTTGACTTGACCTTTCATTCCAGTGTGATTAATGAGAATGGAATCAACTTCTTACTAGACTCAGTGCGTTTCATTCAGTAATAATTGCTAGGATTATTTCATATTTGTCCACGCAGGAGAACTTCTCACGAAACATTTCTGCAACAAATACCTTGCCACATGAATTTATTCTTGACCTCGTTCTAATCTGGAGTATTCTAATAAATGAGGTTATCTATTTGCATAAAACCTGCCTAAACCTTCTTCATAAATGCTCAACCTTCTTCTTTACAGCCTTTCGTCACAAATTCGTTAATGAAACCTATTATTTGACCCATTTGCCGCTAGTTAAGACATTTTTTGCACAGGCTTTGAATAATAAGTTAAAATAGCTAAACATTTACCATGTGAATTAAACATGTAGTGTAATGAGACAACGTGACAACAATGTAGGATTTTTCTTTTAATCAGGCAGTAAACTGTTTATACTGTGCAGTAAGCAGTATTCTAATATTCAGTTCCAAAAATACAGTAATCCTATATCACTGCTAACCTGCTAGAGCTAAGTGCTAACCCGATTTAGGTTGTCATAAGTCTGGCTCACATCTCATATTTTGGTTCGTCAAATAAATTAAATGTTGTGTTTCCTGCTTCTCTAGGTGTCGATTGCGGTTGGCTTGGCTGGCTTCGCCTGCGTTCTCCTTGTCATTATGTTTGTGCTAATCAACAAATATGGCAGACGCTCAAAGTTTGGCATGAAAGGTAAGCCAGTGTAAACTATTCAGCGGGAAACTTGGCACATTGCATTATTAGTGAAGTGTGACATCAACTGACTAATTTTTAATACCAGAAACTGTTGTTTGTAGGAAGAAGGGAAATGCTAAAACGCTATGCAAATTTTTCTATTTTAACAATTTGCTCTGAATCAATCTCTTGAGTTGAGCTTCTTGGTTTTTGGATATTTTTAATTTTAAAGTATTCAGCGAGGCAAAATCAGGTTGGACTGACCAAATGTTTCTTTGGGAGTTCAGACGTGTATGTACATCTTTAATCGTTCATTAAACTGAGTCATAATGGGTGATTTCAAGGAATGATGAGCCTTATGGAGTTTCAGCCACGCTTTTGGTCTCTAAATAGGATTCGTATGTCACTATGCTGGATGGACCCTTGGGGTTGTCTGAAGCCTATGCATTGCTGGCGAGCAGTTAGCGGACGCTGTAGATAGCCGTCTCCTTGGTTACGTGCTGGGATGGCGGGATGCTAGGCTCAGTCATGCTTTCCTGATTCTCCGATGGGTTTGGCAGGGTTGTTGTTTCCCCCTCTCCTCTCAGAATCCTCCAAAGCGCAGTCGGTTTGGCTAACCATGATGCATTTTGGCTGCTTTTTTATCCGTAGCAGTGAGAAACAACCCTGTTTTGCATCCCAGCTCTGACATGAAAACCAGAAATTTCTAATTTTCCCCCTTGACACCTCAGTCATTATGAATATGAGTCATCCGGATGTCATTTAATGGCTTAGTAATGAACATTACGTCTGACATGTAGGCCCGCGTGGAACCGTGCAACACCAATTACACTACAACCAACACAAATGCTCATGTATCAAAGGGATAATTAATGTGATGCTTTCGGTCCCTGGAGCCTCTTGCCATGTTGTATTTTTCATTCAACATCAACTGGGAATGTAATCAGTGGCTCTGTCTAGTGGTAACGGTGTCAGAGTACCCATAAGCCCCTTGTACGGTGCAGACAGAGCTCTAAATGAATGCGTGCCATGTTGGCTGACTGTGTCTTGCCTTGGCACAATGCCACTTTCATTGACTTTCTCCGTTTCATTTTGGCTCCCACGGGGACCCCCCCCCC